AAACACAGGGTGGATCCATGACAATGAGTTTGGAAAGATAAAATCCATGTTGCGCTCTAGTATGGGCCTTCGTAAAGAAATCCACCAATTGTAACTCGGAAGGCACATAATGAGAGCAAATACTTAGTCCTCCACACCAGCGCGCACAAAAGAAGCATCAACACCAATATGCTTGGTAAGCTCATGCTTCACAGGGTCACGCGCAATACTGATAGCACGCACATGTACACACCAAACTCTTGAAGTAAACACAGTAACCTTTGCCGTCAAAAAGGTCATAGCTCGGGACTCAGCCTCTTTGTAAGGGTGTTCCAAAAATAGGAGCATTGAGAGCTGATTCGAGTGCATAGTCCACCGTACGCACTAGTGATGTAGAGTGCTTCAAGTGTGTAGGCCAGGGACATATAAAGCGTGAATGTCCTAATGAGAAGAGAGTATTACTCACAAAAGATGGATATATCAGCTAGTGATGAAGAGAAAGTTGATGACAGATCTAGTGAGAAGTCTGAAGATCTTGAAAAAGAGGCCATGAGTTTTGAAGCTGCTGAATCATATACGTCCCTGATGGTGCAGCGAGTGCAAGAAGACCGTATCGAGGACAAGGGGCAACGCTGGAATATTTTTCAGTCTGAGTGCAAAATCAGACACCAATTGTAAGTTGATCATCGATGGTGGAAGCTACACCAATGAGGTCAGCAAGGGGTTGGTGGGTTATTTAGGATTACGTGTGTGGAAACACCCACAACCCCACTTAGTCGAGTGGCTGTATAATACTGAAAAGTTAAATGTTGCTCACAAGGTGTGCATCAAATTTTTGGTTGGCAACTATATTGATAGGGTGATATGTGATGTTTTGCCAATTGGATGCATGCCACTTACTGTTGGCAAGGACGTGGCAACATGATCGTGGTGCCACACATCATGGGAGGTCCAACACTTGCTCATTTAACGGGAAACGACATGTGCTATAACTGATGTTTGCCAATGATATCAAGGTGGATGCTATTATTTCAGTTCCAAAGAATGTCCCCAGAGCAACCAAGAAACCAAGGACAGCTTTGTTTAAAGAGGGAGGCGATGATGTGGCAACTACAGCTTCTTCAGCCACGACACGGACTCAAGAATGTCTCCATGACATAGTGTTGTTTGCTCAAGAGAAGAAAGATGGCAAAGGAATCCTGGGAATTGCACCGTATGCTAAATCTGCTAACACAAATTTGAATGGTGAAATTCCTGTCAGGTTAGTAGTGCTGGGGGAGGTCTTTTTTTGAGAGTTAGGAAAGTACAGGAAAGCTACAATGTTAATCTTTTGATGATGCGTCGCAAGAGCACAGCAAGAGTCGTTACGAGATTGATTTTTGATCTATCTTGTGCTGATTTTGTTACTTTGGTTTCTTGCATCTCGCTCGATCCATAGTATTTGTTCGGCTACATCTTCATCTACTTTGCTGCGTCTTCGTTTCGTCAAGTACCGTGAAAGATTGAGACCTTTACATGCGCAAATTTGCGTCTCACTTGTTTGTGTTTCATCACGCAGCTAGCAAGCACCAAAGTCATGTAATCCCCTGCTCAGTCAGGGGCTCAACTGAAGAGGTCAACGTAGATGCACCGGGAAATGTTGAACCGGAGGCAATAAGCAGTTTGCGAAGGCGCGCAGTCTCCTGCTCAGTGAAGGACGCAGCTAAAGTAGTCGATGTAGCAGCACCAGGAGAGGAGCAGGCACTGCCACCCGTGGAAGTCGCTAGTCGCTAGAGGAGGCGGTGTAGCACACCCAACGTCGATCCGCAGAAGCCAGTAGAGGAGACAAGGTCGCAGGCACACAAGCACCAAGGGAGGACGTGCGTGCGAGGCGGAGTCGGTGTAGCAATGTGCACCAATACTGCCGATGAAAGTCGCGGGGGGAATTAGTGTAGAGCGACAATCAGCATCCATGGAGGTTGCGAGAGGACTCGTTGTAGAGCAGCCACCACAGTCTGCGTAAGGCGCCAAAAGGGATGACGTCACAAACAAACGAGCACCAAAGACCGAGGAAAGGCACATTGCGAGATGGACTAAGTGTTGGGAACACCAGAAACACCATTGGAAATCACTAGAGGGCGAGCGAGAGACACCATGTCTGATGATATTGTTTTCCCCTCTTTACTTTTCTTACTTCTTTTTTTACAAACTAATCAGCTCGTAGATGGCTTCAAGAAAAGCACTCCAGCCCGATCGCACAGGTCAGCCCAAGTGCACGCAGCCAGCCAACCTGGAGGCCACGCTCCCGAGCACACAAGCCCAAGAGAAAGAACAACGTTGCAACAGCAGGCTGCGGAAGGCTGAGCAGAGACGAGACAACAAGAGAGAGGCACCAAATGGGGTAGCAGAGTCGGCAGTAGATGGACGGCGGGCGGTCTGAAAGGCAGTGGCCAGGGAGCGCGACGGCGGCCGATTTGGGAGCAACGGCGGCCGGTCCTAGAGGAGGGCCCCAGACGAAGCTAGCAGTCGGATGGGGAGCACGATGACAGGGGAGCCCATCAATAGAGGCAGTGGGCTGCAACGAGGGAGAGCCTGGAGAGCAGCGCCATGGCCTGACCTGAGACAAGAGGTGGTGTGTGGTGATCTGGAGACCTGCAATGCAGAAGCGAGCACGATAGAGGGAGAGAAATTGGGATAAAGGGAGAGGAGGCAGCGACGGCCAGCCGAGAGGATGACAACAGCCCAAGAGGAGGCAGTGACTGCCAACCAAGAGGGGGGCGGCAGTGCAAGTGTGAGATTGGACTGGAGCACGAGTTGCGCGTGGAAGAAAAAATAACCTAGGGCTTTAATACCATGTCAGGAAATATGCAACTTGTATTTCCTTGGGAGGGCAAGTATATATATGCAGGAAACCCCTCATACAATGGGAAAAATACCCAAGCTATACATGCAACATAATATAACTCTTAACTAATCTCACATTTTGTAAAAACTACGCTCCAGTTAAGTCGGGTAGCCGAGTGCGGAGAGGATAACTGCTAAAAGCATATCTACTATACCATTATAAAAGGAAGAGAGGGGCAGATCCAAATAAGGACGACCGTCTATCTGTCAGATCCAAGGGACTAAAATGTCCAGATGTTTAACGCAACAAGCCACTAATCAACCCATCGACAACTAATTCCCGCACCCCCACATCCTCATACAACACGATCGCCCGCACTACCTCTTCTCCGCATCACCTCTGCGTCCACAATTCGCCCCAATTGCCACGCCGTCTGTACTCCCCAAGATCGCTGCAGTATGCATCGCCGCCGCCGCCGCACTCACTGCCTCATCTCGCTAGGGCCGCCGACCGCTCCACCGCCGGCCTGACCCTAGGCGAGGGCGCTCTTCGGCCGGCGACGCGGCAAGGCGCGCGGGACCTGCCGCCACCGCCGCCGCTGGTGGCCCTCAACGCGCAAGCCGCCGGCACTGCACTACCACGCGCCTCCGCTGCCCTACGCACGACACCTGCCCCAACCCAACTCTCGACGCGAAGCCTCGGCTGCCAAGGGTGCTACTGTCGGGCATGTGCCGCCGGAAACGAATGCCCACGTAGGTCAGGAGGTGCCGTCGCTAGGGACGTGGACCCATGCAGGAGCGGCCGTTGATTCACGTCCTTTGGTCGATCCTTGTGCATCGGAGGTTGCACTCATCTCTGAGAAAATCTGCCTTTGTGCTTGTTTCTTGGGCATTCGTTCTCTGTATGGCCCTTCGCAAATTAATCTCCAGTTGACGTGTACAACTCCGTAACGCACTACAGGTACAGGTATTCCTTGTAAGATGCTTTCACCTATTCCCTAATGTACGTGCAATCTGACATCCATTGCCAATTTGGCTTACGTAAATTCGGTGGCAGAATAAGCAATCTTAAATTGGTATTGGTATTGTTCTTAAGCATGGCCCAAAATGATGTGTATCAATTGCATATTTTTCTGAAGCTACTGAATTTGACCTGTACTAAATTTCCACTGTTTTTTTCTTCTAAAAATACGGTTCTCCTTCAAACTCAATTTTGTTCCTTCTACTGAATGTGCTTCTGAAAGAGGATATCAACAGAGCAACCGGGAGGAGGAGGAGAGAGCAGCCAGAGATAAGTTCAGAACAACACACATGCTTCAGATTAACTCCTATTCCTGAACCAATATGTTTTTTTACTATTCACCGATATGCATGATTGAATTAGATAAAACAAGTAGGAGTGTATATTTATTTTCATTTAGGACTTTTACATACCTCCTAGCCAAGCATCCGTACCAGCACTGGGTTCGAGAAGTAATTGTGCAAGACACTAAAATTGATTTTGATGCAAGTATATATATGGTCATTTTTTTTGTTATTTGCTAGACGAATGGGTAACATAAATATTTTCTATCCCAACTTCAACGTCATTAATAAAATTTCAATTTAAACAACAGGGATTTTCTCATCTGTATAGTTCATGTATTCTTCTAGAGGCATTTTATAAAATA